AAGTAGTGAGTGTACAGCTTGTATAACAGTGTAAATTTGCTGTCCCCTCAAAATAACTCAACACAGCCATTAATGTTTAAACCGCTGGCCACAAAAGTGAGTAAACCCCTAAGTGAAAATATCCAAATTAGGCCCATTAGGCCACCATTATTTTCCAGCACTGCCTTAACCCTCTTGGGTCTATACATTCAGTATGTTTTGCCAGGTGATGGTGTTAGTATCATTTGATTTGTGGAAGAGTTATGATGATACAGAGACAGAACCAAAGGGAGGAAAGTACCTTCTCCAACGGGAATTTGTTTTTCCCAATAGAGGCAAGAGTTAGCTTGTGTGATCCGACAAGTACAAAGCTACTGGTGCGCACTGCGTTTGGACCACCGGGGCTAGCCACAACTGAAAATGAAGAAACAAAGTGAACAAAAATTAATATTAATAACTGTTTGAAAACATTAGTTGAATTGAACAGCTTTTAAAAGCTCATTAATACTCACCAGGTGTTTGGAGGTTGCTCTTCTAAAATAGATTAAAAAAAGAGAGGACAAAAAAAAAGAAAGTCAGAACTTTACATTTTTATATTGTTTATAACAATGAATGTTATGGTACTGTATTACATGTCGTACAATATTAAATGCTGTATTACATATTACAATATTACATTACGAAGGAGAAAGTATGCACGAGGTGAAGTGACCTTTAAATTAAAGATAGATGATGCCCTTTAGGCTTATGCAAGCAGTTTTACATTCTTCAGTTTCATTAGTTATTTATTTTTATTTTAAATTTTTTGGAGACAGATTTTTATAAAAAAATCAAAAACCTCAAATCAAGATGAATATTGGGGTGTGGAATTTTTCCCAGAGGAAGAATGAATTTGGCCTTAAACAGATTTTTGATCATTTTGCTGAGTCTTCTGTTTTCACTGATTATTAATAATTGTCTTTAAAACATGGGTCAGTTTTTTTTCCACTTTCTTTTGAGCATCATATTTTCCTCTGAACATGAAGACGGAGTGTCCTTGAATAATAACAGTGTAACTGTAGTGATATATGGAATAATGTGCTTCAGAAATCATTCTAACATGCTGATTTGGTGGTGCTCAGGAAACATTTCTTAATCATCAATGTTGAAAACAATTGTGCTGCTTAATATTTTTGTGGAACCCCTAATAAAGATAATGATTCATTGTTTAGTAGAAAAATAAAAAGAACAGCTTTTTTTGTAACACTGTAAAATGTCACTTTGATCAATTCAGTGTATACTTGCTGAATAAAACCATTAAAAAAATTCACCCCTTTTGACCAGTAGCATGTGTTGAGGTTAAAATGAACAGACTACTTACAGAGATAGCAAGGAACCTTTTTGGTGTGATAGCCTGTGGAGATAATTTATTTCAGAGTAAAATATAGTGAACAATACTTATAACAGCTTATAATAGACAAACACAGCACTACTGAGTACTACTGAGACTGAGACAAAAGGCCTTTTTAGTTAAGAAATGAATAAAAATACCCTTCACCGTGCACTTTGTTCAGACTGATGAGACTAGACATAAAAAAAAAAAAAAAAAACTTAAAACTGCTTGCACACCAGCAAGTGATGATTTTAAAACACAGCATACCAACAAGCATGCTTCCATGTCATGGAAATGCCTCAGGAGAATCTGGACACTCTGACTGCTGCTCTTTAGAGTAGCCGTTCATTAAAACTTAGTGTTACACACTACACTTCTTTTTACACGGAGTCATTTTAACCTAGTACGTCTATGAGTCTACCTTTGACTTGAGCTTTTTCCTCTTGTCAGGGTTCAGCTCCCTTTTCTGAACCTAAGAGAAAAACAAACATTTACTAAATCTCTTTGATAAAGGTTTAATTTGTGTTCAAAAGGCATGCATTTCACTTGAAAGCAAATTAAAAAGCTGTACTTACAAAACAGTAGACCTCAATATCAATCTCAAAGTCATTAGAGACATCAGACCTGCACACAAGAAAAGTAATAATAGGATAAACACTACACTGAGGTGATAGGGATTGTCAAGAGTGGCTTGATAGGAAATGACACTTACAAAGTGAATCTGGTGGAGAAGGTCAAAGCATCGCCACTTAGACCAGTGCGTGTGCTTGCTAGAGTCGTCGCCACTGTGTTCTCAGCTCCAGCACGGATCATCACAAAGAAGTAATGGTTTCCACATTCTTACATCACAATTATGACATGAGTGAGTGTCTGATTGGGCATTAAGGTGCTAAACAAAAAGTATCAATATATATAAACCAGAAACACTCTCACCAGGCTTGTTGGCAGAAGAACAGATAAAGTCAGCCTTCAGAGGGAGTTGCAGCTCCAGCAGTGAGATGGACCCTTTAGAAGCAGGTATACCCATATCCACCTGAGCACTGCTCGTGCTTTTCTTTTGGGCTGTTGGACCCTCTGCTTTTAGCCGGTCCAGTTCAGCCTTCAGAGCGGCCCTCCTTTCAGCTGACGCAGAACAAAAGAAGTGATTAGTCCAAGTTTAAGAAATAAAATCATCTGAAAAATTCACCCGTGTAGCGCAAAAAGGAAAATATCACTTACTGGCAATAAGCAGCAGTCTCTCAGCCTCAGCCTCCACTTGAGATCCTTTCCCATGTTCTTCATCTGTGCAGCAGTTGAGAGCCTGACTAGCCTGATGGATCACTGTCTGCTGCAGGTTCATCTCATTGGTCAACATCTGAGAACACAACGTGGCATCATAAATTCCATTCAGATCAAAGACAGTTCACTCATATTACTGTGACTAGGAGAAACTGCAATGTGCAATAGGTCAAAATAAGTCCCGCCTTCTAATTAAAAGAGCCAGTTGCAGTTGGTCAAGCAATTGCATCACTGCAGCTGTTGTTAGAAAGTCTAGTTTCCATAGAACCCTGTGACTCATGCTGCACATGCGCACTGGCAGGACCAACCTGAAATATACACTTTAACACTGTTGGAGCATAAGAAACTACATTTATGGGTCAGTTAATGTCAGACTGTATTGCTATTTTAACGTTTGCGCTTCTAAATGTGGCAAGTCACTAAGCTAACAGGTGCCAGCACAATTTATACATTGCATATATATATTTTTTATATATGGAAGAATAGATCTTAATTTCATCTATAAATTTCTCATGCTATAGCTGGTGGAGGAGGTCAAAGCATCGCCACTTAGACCAGTGTGTGTGCACTATTTGTTTTCATAATCTAGCTTTCTAATAAACCTGGCATTGTATACTACAAATATTGTCTGGCTCTGGGACAAATTGCTTAGGTTCCTCTATTTTAAGTGACTTGATAAAACTGTCTGCTAAATTCATAAATGTAAAGTGTAAAATATAAGGCATACATAAATCATTGCTAAAAAGAAAATGCATGATTTTTAATTGACAGGGCCCAAAGCATAATAAAAAAATAAAATAAATAACATTTTTGAACAGACCTTCATTTTCTGCTTGATGTTGATGTGACTGGAGCTCCCATTGGTCTCCATTCTCTGAGACACATCCTCTTTCCTCACTATCACCTGTTTAACATGAGGTCTCTCTGACTCGGTCTTAATCCTTGTGGATCTGTAGGCATCAATGCTGAAATCAAACAATCATGCATTAAATACAAATCATACTCAAATCAGATTGAATGTTGCTTGAAAAGAGACAACGAGCAGATGCACACCTGTAGAGAAGGTTCTGGTTTTGCTGCTCATCTACGACATCGATGCCGTCAGATGATCCAGCTCGTAACATGCGTGTCCTTTGGAACTTACTGGGTCTGGATACACTCTCAGGGGTGGAACTCTTCTCAATAAATGAGCTGGCAGGAGTCGATGTCTGAACCAAAATAAAAGTTAAATTGAGATGTAACATCAGTTTTCAGATTATTCAGCATGATCACTGTTTTTTTAGCAAAGGACTTACATCCTTAGGGCTCACCATAGGCTTTCTTTCTGGGCTCTTGACCACAGCTGCTACAGTCTCTGCGAGTGGAGCAAGGAGAGACATGGAGGAGATATTCAGAGCATCTTCATCTGCATCCTCCTCATCACTTTGCTCGTCGCTCTCATCCAGGACTCCATCAAACAGCTCATTTATCATCTCAGAGTTAACAGAGTCATCCACGTTCATCTCAATCTCACGCACTTCATCTATTTCTACAATGTAAACAAGAACGTTCATGATCAAAAACATGTAATGGGAATTAGCGATATAATAAGGTTTCAAAATATATTCGTCATGATATCAAAATGAAAGTACAAGAGACAATACAAAATATAATCCATTGATACACAAAAGATATTCAATATACAAGATGCATTTTAAATATCTTAAATGCTGAATAGCATCAAGATATGATCACCAAGCTCTACATATACAACAAAAAAAGCTAAAATATTTAATTAGTCTTGTCTTTTGACACTAAACAGTGATAAAAAAAACAGTTTAAACTGTTAAAGCAAATAACACCTTAATATGAAGAACAACAATCTATAGTTTGTAAAACTAGTCAGTAAAACTGATTTTTTTCCCCCATACCTTTCATTTCCTCTTGCTCTTTCACCATAGGCATCTTTTCTGTAAATTCCACTTCCTTTGCAGGGCTGGGAAAAGCACACGCCTTACCTAAAAAAATAAAATAAAAAAAAAAAGACTCTGTTTAACTACTCCAATATATATTCCAATAAACATGAGAACAACTATAACATTATTATGAATAAAACGACATGACAATGCAGCAAAGACATACATAATTGGACAGAACAAAGAAAATTAACAGCTGGATGATTTAGAAGAACACATTTAACTATATTATATAGTTTTTATAATAAAATACCTTTTTCACTAGATTTAGAAGGACTGTTGAGAACTTCAGGCACTGGCACAGAAGGCTCATTATCAGGCACTGGCTCAGAAGTCTGACTCTGTACAGACAGTTCAATTTCCTGAGGATAAAAAAAATGGTTATATTAAGTAACATTAAGTTCTTTGGCTTCCCATTCCTATCATAAAATTAAGTACTGGGTTTATAAAAGAGGCACAACAGACTTTGGAAAAATTAATAGCTCAAATCAAAGTCATCATTTATATTGCTATATTTCTCTTCAGTATCAGTGTGATTAGTATTAGTAGTTTTATTTATTTGGCTTTGTCATGTCAGCTACATGAAAACAAAGAAATTGTCATTACACCAAATACACAAAATAATGTTCTTTTTAGCAGTATCATATGACCCCTTTAAAAAATATTCTTCCTTCCTCTGTGGATTTTATATTGATAAAACAGATTTTTTTACACTATATTTTATAGAAAAATATGGACTATAATCTTACTAGGGTTGCAAAGGGGCGGAAATATTCCAAGTTTGAAACTTACCAGGAATTTATGGGAATTAATGGGAAATTTATAAAACTATCATATACAAACATTTTGTTTGATCATAGGCTCACATGCATGCAAACTAATACAAATTTTAAAAAATGACTTTTAGATTTTTGGGGGGGAATCTATGATGCTTTTTTCAGGATTTATTGATAAATAAAAACTTATGAACAGTGTTGATTCAAAATAGAAATGTTTTCTAACAATATAAGTCTTTACTATTACTTATTAACTGAACACATCCTTGTTGAATAAAAGTATTAATTTATTTCAAAAAAAGAGAACAGATACTGACCCCAAATTTTTGAATGGTAGTGTATTGTTAAAAAAGGATTTCTATTTTAAATAAATGCTGTTTTTTTTTTTTACTCTTTATTCATCAAAGAATCGTGAAAAAAGAATCAGTAATTAAAAAAAAAAAAAATACATATTAAGCAGCACAACTGTTTCCAAAATTGATAATAAATCAGCATATTAGAATGATTTCTGAAGAATCATGTGACACTGAAGACTGGAGTAATGATGTAAAATTCAGCTTTGCATCACATAAATATATTGTTTTAAAGTATATTAAAACAGAAAACCATTATTTTTAATTGTAATATCGGTAATACTGCGCAATATTACCGTTTTGTTCTGCATTTTTGATCAAATAAATGAAGGCTTGATGTGCAAAAGATAGGCAATGTTTAAAAATATTAAAAATAGTAATGTATCCAAACTTTTGACCAGTACTGTACTTCTGTATGATAACAGAAAACTGGCTAGCAGAAAGAGCATCACAGCTTGAGCTAGCTAGCACATACCTCATAAATTGTCAATGAAATAGTGCTAACTCGCTTAGATTTTTCATATCTTGATTTACTGGCTAGCTAGCTACTGTATAAACACTTTTTGGTATTTACTAGCAGGGCCGTCCTTAGCTGACGCGGGGCCCGGTGCGACCGCACCAGTTGCACCTCCCAAAGGACGGCCCTGTTTACTAGTTAAACTTGAATCCAATAGATCAAATAGATTTAGAATATCAAAACTTACATGTAGTCTTTGGGCTCAAATGCAGCAAGTGTGTCTTCAGAGAAAATGGAGGGGAAACCCCCTCTTAGGTGACTAAGGGCAGGGCTGTACAGTGCGACATATTTGTTGCACGTGCTACGAAAAAACTGGTCTGTGCGATGAATAAATAAGCGCCTGATTAGATTGATTTTGCGTCTAATACTGTCAAAAACACACAAGGTTTACATATAAACACAGTTAGTTATGTCTAAAACGAAAGTAAACAGTTGAGAGAGAAACGCGCGCAGCTCTTAAAGGGACAGTAGCTACTAAATATGCTGCCGACTGTCATTAAAGGGATAGTTCACCCAAAAAAATTTAATTTCTGTCATTATTTACTCACTCACATTTTGTCCCAAACCTGTATTAATTTCTTTCTTGTGCT